AGTCTAGATCCAATAAGACTTTTCTATAGAGTCTAAAATTGACCAATAGTTTTTTTTTTTTTTTTTTTCAAAAAACAAAATAAGAAAAAAAAAAGACTATAAACACATACACACCAAGACAAATTTAAAAACAATCCCAGATTTTTCCTGATAGAGGTATCCTGATAGGTCCTCACTCACTGTATCTAGACCGTTTCTGCTAACAACATATATGATTTATACTAAACACCTACTTTCCTTCTGGAAGGTGCCAGGGATAGAGGGTCTATGTGACCAGGTCCCAATAAAGCCTTGAGTAGACTCTCTAATAGCCTTCCCTTGGCAGGAGCACTGTATACATGCTGCTGTATACTCCCTTTTGGAAAGAGAATGCATTCTGTATGAGTATTCAAGAGAGGGAGAGAGCACAAAGGAAGATGAAACATGGATTTATCCAGACTCTGCCATGTCACTCTCCTTTTTGATTGGGCTATGTATTCTTATTATATACCTGTAATAAATCATCACTCTAGATGGGCATGGTGGTGCATGCCTGTAATTCCAGTGGCTCAGGAGGTTAAGGCAGGAGGATCACAAGATCAAGGCCAGCCTCAGCAACTGAGAGAGGCCCTAAGCAGCTTAGCAAGACCCTGTCTCTATGTCATTAATGATGGAAGTCATTTATTGCATTTGTTTTTCATAAAGTTGTTTCTTGAATATTAGACTTAGAAATCTTCTTAGGAAACTCCACCAGACAACTTCTAGAATTAATTAATGAATTCAGCAAAGTAACAGGATATAAAATCAATACCCATAAGTCAAATGCATTTCTATACATCAGTGATGAATCCTCTAAAAAAGAAATTAGGAAAAATTGGGAACGAACTTAACAAAAGAGATGAAGGAAGACCTCTACAATGAAAACTACAGGATGCTAAAGAAAGAAATTGAAGAAGACCTTAGGAGATGGAAAGATCTCACATGCTCTTTGATAGGCAAAATTAATATTGTCAAAATGCGCATACTACCCAAAGCGCCAAACAGATTCATCATTCCTTATAGAAATAGAAAAAGCAATCATGAAATTCATTTGGAAAAATAAGAGACCCAAAATAGACAAAGCAATCCTTAGCAAGAACAATGAAGCAAGAGGCATCAGAATACTAGACATTAAACGATACTACAAAGCTTATAGTAACAAAACAGCATGATATTGGCACCAAAACAGACATGTAGACCAATGAATGATACAGAATAGAAGACACAGTGACAAGCCCACAGAAATACAGTTATCTCATACTAGACAAAGGTGCCATAAACATACATTGGAGAAAAGATAGCCTCTTCAACAAATTATGCTGGGAGAATTGGAAATCCATATGCAGCAAAATGAAAAAAAAACCCTATCTCTCACCATGCAACAAAACTCAACTCAAAGTCGATTAAGGACCTAGGAATTAGTCCAGAGACCCTGTGCCTAACAGAGGAAAAAGTAAGCCCAAATCTTCATCACATCCGATTAGGCCCCAACTTCCTTAATAAGACTCCTAATGCATAAGAGTTAAAATAAAAAATTAGCCAGACGCAGTGGTGCACACCTATAATCCCAGAGGCTCAGGAGGCTGAGGCAGGAGGATCATTAGTTCAAAGCCAGCCTCAGCAAAAAGCAAGGCACTAAGCAAGTCAGTGAGATTCTGTCTCTAAATAAAATTCAAAAAAGGGCTGGGGATGTGGCTGAGTGCTCCTGAGTTCAATCCCTGGTACAAAAAAAAAAAAAAAAAAAAAAAGAATTAATAAATGGGATGGACTCAAACTAAAAATCTTCTTCTCAGCAAAAGAAACTATCAATGAGGTGAATAGAAAGCCTACATTTTGGGAACATATTTTTGCCACATGCATTAATAGAGCATTAATCTCCAGGATATACAAAGAACTCAAACTTACCACCAAAAAAGAAAAAAAATCCAATCAATAAATGGGCTAATGAGCTGAACAGACACTTCTCAGAAGAAGATATACATTCAATCAACAAATATATGAAAAAAAAGGTTCAACATCTCTAATAATTAGAGAAATCAAAGCTACTCTAAGATTTCAAATCACTCCAGTCAGAACAGCAGTTATCAAGAATACAGACAAGGGGCTGGGGATGTGGCTCAATCGGTAGAGCGCTCGCCTGGCATGCGTGCGGCCCGGGTTCGATCCTCAGCACCACATACAAAAGATGTTGTGTCTGCCGAAAACTAAAAAATAAATATGGGGCTGGGGATGTGGCTCAATCGGTATCGCGCTTGCCTGGCATGCGTGCGGCCCGGGTTCGATTCTCAGCACCACATACAAAGATGTTGTGTTCGCTGAAAACTGAAAAAAATAAATAAATAAAAATGTTTAAAAAAAAAAAAAAGAATACAGACAACAATTAGTGTTGTCAAGGATGTGGGGGAAAAGGTACACTCATACATTGCTGGTGGGACTGCAAATTGGTGTAACCAATATAGAAAGCAGTATGGAGAGTTCTTAGAAAACTTGGAATGAAACCACCATTTGACCCAGCTCTCCCCCCTCCTCAGTCTATACCCAAAGGACTGAAAAATCAGCATACTATAATAATGTGTAGCCACATCAATGTTCATAGCAGCTCAATTCACAATAGCTAAACTGTAGAGCCAACCTAGATGCCCTTCAATAGATGAATGGATAAAGAAACTGGTATATATACACAATGGAATATTACCCAGCATTAAAAGAGAGTAAGATTATGGTATTTGCAGGTGAATGGATGGAACTGGAGAATATCATGCTAAGTGAAGTAAGCTAATCCCAAAAAACCAAAGGCTGAAATGTTCTGATAATTGAATGCAGATTCATAAAGGATGGGGGGTGGGGGAGATGAAGGAACTTTGGAAAAAGGGAGGGAGAGGGAGGGAGCATACATGGGGGCAGGAAAAATGGTGGAATGAGATGGACATCATTACCCTAGGTTCATGTATGCATATATGGTGCAATGCTACATCATGTACAACCAGAGACATGAAAAGTTGTGCTTCAACTGTGGACAATGAATCAAAATGCATTCTGCTGTCATATATACCTAATTAAAATAAATAAATTAAAAAAAAGAAATCTATTAAGGAGTCAGTTCTTAAACCTTTTAGTCTCAGAATCCCTATAATTTATGTGAATTACATCTATTGATATTCACACCAATTTAGAAATTAGAACTGAGGTTTTAGAGCCAGGCATGGTGGTGCATACCTGTAATCCCAGTAGCTTGGGAGGCTGAGGCAGGAGATTTTTGAGTTCAAGCCCTGTCTAAAAATATAAAAACTGGCTGAGGATGTGGCTCAGTGATTAAGTGCCCCAGGTTCAATCCCTGGTACAAAAAAAAAAAAAAAAAAAAAAAAAGTTTTGACCTATTTCAAAATAATCCATTACATATTTTATAACATTTTAAAAATAAAAAATTTTCTGAGAGAAATGTGCTGAGTGTTCTGTTTCACGGTTTTATAAATCTCTTAAATATCCAGCATAACAGAAGACAACTAATTTCTACTATCTGCTTCTATATACTTTATCTTTTGCAATATTTCATGCCATATAGCCCCTAGCAAATTCCACTGCAAACTCATTCCCCATTGCCCACCTTCCACCCCATCCCTGAATCCAGGGCAATTTACCATTGAGCCACATGCTCAATCCTTTTTATTTTTATTTTATTGTTATTTTTTGGAGACAGGGTCCACAAAGTTGCTGAGGCTGACCTCAAAATGGAAATCATCCTGTCTCAAACTCCTGATCCTCTGTGATTACATGTGTGTGACACAATGCCTGGTTTTACTTTCAATCTTAAGTCTTACTAAGTTCCCAGGCTAGGCTCCAACTTTTGATCCTCCTGCCTTGGCCCTCCCAAGTAATTGGGCTATATTATAGGCACATGCCACTGAGCCTGGCTCACTGCAAATTTTTGTTTCTTTAGTATCAGAAATTGAATCAGGCGTGCTCAATCACTGAACCACATCCTCAGCCCTTTTATATTTTATGTTGAGACTCGCAGTTGCTTAGGGCCTCACTAAGTTGCTGAGGATGGCTTTGAACTTGCAGTCCTCTTGCCTCAACCTCCTGAGCTGCTGGGACTATAGGCATGTGCCACTTTGCCAGGCTCACCACACATTCTTAAAAGAACAACAACAAAAAGTCAAATAAATAACTTAATATGGCTATGAAAATAATTCTGACCTTTTGGACCACCAGAAAGGATTCTGAATTATACTCTGAGAAATGTGACATGAAGGTAAATAATGTGACTGTCAGGTAAATAATGGTAACAGAATAATGTGTTAAAATAGAAGTGCAGAGCCAGGCATCAGCGCCAGACCTTCATTTTCTTTTTATCACATATATACTAATATGCAGGAAGGAGCACAGAACACTTTTCTTGAGATAAATTCTGAAGTATCTATCTGATATATACTGAAAACTGGTAGCATTTCCCTTATAAACTCAGAGAGTCAAACCTCATCCAGCTAGTGATTTCAGAAAAGCAGTATTTTACAATACAGGCTCACCATGTTCAGTGTAGAAAGAAAAATATGTGTACCTTAAAAATCCTAAAGAAACTGTATGCATGATGAGCTGAACAATGTAATCCTTTGATACTATTTATTTAAATGATGAAACTTACAATTTTACAAACCATTATTCTAAAAATTAAACTTGATACTTCTCTACTCTCTTTGGTTTGGAAACAATGCACTAGGGACTGAATATATTAAATCACAAAAAAACCTTGTATTAACCTCAGCAGGTCTGCTGAAACCAGTTTTAAGCCAAATCCTAAGCTTATTAGAATTAAATCAACACTTTAACCAACAAGGTAAGCATTAATGACTTTGTTACTTTTATAAACCTTACCATCATGAAGCTATAATTCAACAGCTTTATATAAATTATAAAAATCTACAACTTCTCTGCTGGCTATGGATGTGACCCACACACTCAGGGCACAGAGATGCTATACTTACCACCAGTGCTAGAACGAGAGTCCGAACTTTCTCCCCAATCTCAGGCGAGATATCATTGCCAAACTGTTGCAGAGTGGTGAGAAAGCGTTTCAACTTGCTGAGTTGCCGAGCTCCACAAGTGGCTGGTAACTGCTGATTTGTTAGCGCAGATGAAGTGGAAGAGGCAGGACCATTGCTGAATCTCTGTGGTGGTGATGGAGCGCCATTCAGGGTAGGAGGAGAATGGTTGATACCATTGCTTACTAAAAGGAAGCCAAAATTGAAAGACTCAATTTACAGACCACGAAGGCCTTTGTTAATTTCTTCTGGTTGTGTTCTCTTTCATTTATTCATTCAAATTTTGTAAAGTACATTTTAAAAGAATATGCAAAGCTGTTTCTGTCCTCAATAATACTTTTATGTATAATGAAACAGACTGTCAGGTAAATAATGGTAACAGAATAATGTGTTAAAACAGAAGTGCAGAGCCAGGCATCAGCGCCAGACTTTTTTTTTTTTTTTGGAGGAGCTATGTTCTTGGTGGCATGACATAAAAAACTCTGTCACTGAACAGTGAGATAAAAATCACCTAGTCCCAAGTTTCAAATAGATTTTACTTAATCATAAAATCTAAGGTGAGCTGGGCTTGGTGGCACAAGCCTGTAATCCCAGTGGCTCAGGAAGCTGAGGCATGAAGATCGCAAGTTCAAAACCAGCCTCAGCACTTTAGCGAGGCCTTGTCTCTAAATAAAAAAATAGAAAGGGCTGGGAATGTGACTCAGTGGTTAAGCATCCCTGGTTCAATCTTTGGTACCAAAAAAAAAAAAAGAAAGAAAGAAAAGAAAAAGATATCTAAGATGAAAGTATCTAAAAACGTAGGAAACAATTTAAGCCAAGATTTGAGAAAAGTTGAAAAGCCTAATCATGCAGTCCCAGTGGCATATGCCTATAATATCAGTGACTTAGCAAGATTCTGTCTCAAAATAGAAACAAAAAGGGCTCAGGATGTAGTTCAGTGCCCCTGGGTTAGATCTCCAGTACCTCCCCACTAAAAAAAAAAAGCCTAAGCATTTAATCTTTACCTAGCTTAGAAAACTGATATTTACCTGTATTATGTCCACAAAAACTCATCAATCACAACCATTTTCCTACTTCACTTTTCTTTCCTCTAAGTTAGTCAAAGTCACCTGACCATCTCTGTTTTCTCTTCCTGGACCAATCCATATTCAAATTTGACCTCTATAGTTTAGGTATCACCTGTATTAAGAAGCTTTCTTTGAAAAACACATTGCTGCTCCACTTTAAGTTTAAATGTTGGCAGATTTAATAAATATTCTTTGTTGCCTGTGTACATACTTCCACTATTTTACTTTCTAAACTATACTTCTTTCCTTCTTTCATTTTTGGTGGTACTGAGGATTGAACCCAGGCATACTTTAGCACTGACCTATATTCCCAGCGCCTTTTGATCTTTTGAGACAAGCTTTCACTAAGTTGCTCAGGCTCATCTCAAACTTATAATCCTCCTGCCTCAGCTTCCTGAGCAGCCGGGGTTGCAGTCATACACCATGCACATCTACTTATTTTTATCTATATTTGCATTGCCAATAGATTACACATTTTCTCTCTCTCTCTCTCTCTCTACCAGGGATTGAACCCAGGGGTGCTGAACCACTGAGTCAACTCCAGCTTTTTCTTTTCTTTTTTTTTTTTTTAAAAACACATGGTCTCCCTAAGTTATTGAAGCTGGTTTTTGATACTTCTCAGATGCCTAAATGCTGTGATCACATGTGTGCACCACCACATCTTGATGAGAAATACCTTACACATTAGTGCATTCTCTTAAGCTTTTGTAAACCGTATATACCATGTGTACTTTTAATTTTTATTCATTAGTTAACCAAGGTAAGTTTTCAAGAAAATAGTGCTAAATGCTACACTGCATAAAAGACTAGCTAAAGCAGAGGAAAAATGGATGAATTCTCTCCTATTTTCTTATAAGAGATTACTAAAGCCACTGGAAAGGAAAGCTAAACATTCAACCTCAACAACACAAAAAATTAGTTATAATGGTCTGTCATTTCTCCGTTTTCACAGAAAGGTCAATTCTCCGAATAGAGCTGCCCTCTTGAAACAATGTAATAAGATATTACTGTGTTTTTAGCCACCATGACATGCAGATAGGCTTTTTTACAGTCTTCTTAATAAAACCTTATGCTTACATTTTCCAAAATAAAATATATCCGCCTCCATGCAGCCAAATGTGGAGGTAAAAAAGACTAACATCTTATTTATTTATTACTACGGGATATTTCAGTACATGTATACATCAGGACTAGATTTACATATACCTATTGTGTGTGTGTGTTAAAATTTGAACAATAAGCAGGGTTTTTTGTTGTTGTTGTCGATGCTGTTTTGTTGGTACCAGGGATTGAATCCAGGGGTGCTGAATCACTGAACCACATCCCTAGCCCTTTTCATTTTTAATTTTAAGACAGAGTCTTGCGAAGTTGCTGAGGCTGGCTTTGAATTTGCAGCCTCTTGCCTCAGCCTCCTGGGCTGCTGGCACTACAGGTGTGCACACTGGCACTCAGCTAAGCACGAATTAAATCTGTTTCATTTCAAGTCTACCTATGACTAAGGCTGTTTACTTTTGAGATACAAAACAGAATTAAGAAAAAGGTTATTAAACTTCTTTTATTTTACTCTGGTTCAACTGAATGCTACAATTATTAGTTATCTGATTTCAAATGTTTGGGGAAAATAATTAAACCTTCTACTAGGGCTATACATCTTACACTCTCTTGCCTTTTATTTTTTTCTTTTTAAAAAATATTTATTTTTTAGTTGTAGCTGTCAATACCTTTATTTATTTATTTTTATGTGGTGCTGAGGATCGAACCCAGGGCCTCACATGCACTAGGTGAGTGCTCTATGGCTGAGCCACAACTTAGCCCCTCTCTTGCCTTTTTTTCCTCCACAACTGCTATATTAGGAATCATACCAGGGCCTCAAAAATGCTAGGCATGTGGTCTATCACTGCACTACATTCCCAGCCCTCTCTTGTGTTTTAAAATGATAAACATAAAAACACAAATTTGAGCAAGTATAATATATAAGTTGTACAATCCATTTAAATAAAACAATATACCCAGCATCTACCACAATGCTCTGACATGTTTTCGGCACTCCACAAAGAGCAAGTGTGTTCTGGTTTATGAGACAAAATATGTACAAGAGGGTCAACATAAACTAGGGATGGCAGCATTTGCATGAAAAGTAGAATTAAATCAAGACATATATGTATGTATCTAAGCCTAGATTTTAAATTGAGGCTTGTTTAAATATATATATATGAGTGAAATTGCTGACATATAAAATGTGTGGAAATTCAGCTTTGGAACATACTGCCAAACAATTTGCACAAGTGACTGTACCCAATTATACTTCAACTAGCAATTCACAAGTGTTCAGATTGCTCATAAATTCACAGCAAAACTTGACATTCTTTTATACTTTGAACATAGTAGTTGTGCAAAGGTATTATACTAGTTTATAATTTTCCTTGCTAGTGAAGTTGAATCCTTTGTTATATATTTATAGGCTCATGTAAATGTTATGGACTGAATTGTGTCTGCTTGAAAATTCACATGCTGAAGTCCAAACCCTTCAAACCTCAGAATGTAAATGTATTTGGAGACAAGGACTTGAAGGAATACACAATGGTTAAATTAGATCAAATTAGTGTTCTTATACACAGAAGAAGAGATAGCAGGACCAGCAAGAAGGTGAGCATCCATAAGCCCAAGGAGAAAGGCTTCAGGACAGACCACACCTGCCAACACCTTGACCTTTGACTTCTAATCTGCTGAACTTTTAGAAATAAATAAGTCAACCAATGATATGATATTTTGTTTTAGCAGCCCTACAAAACTAAGACCATAACATTTTCTTTCATAAAGGGATTTAACAATGATAGTCCTGGAACAGTTTTAGAAGTAGTTCAATAATTTTATAAAATTTATTTTGAATCTTATAAATCAATATAATTTAAATTCATTTTTTGAGTAAAAGAAATAAAATATTTACTTAACAACTAAAGAGTATGAAAACAATATGCTCTACTTTTTTTTTTTTTTTACTTTTAGATGGACACAATATCTTTATTTTTATGTAGTGCTGAGGATCGAACCCAGTGCCTCACGAATGCCAGGCAAGTGCACTACCACTTGAGCCACATCCCGAGCCCTCCATTTTTTTTTTTAAACCTAAGATTATTATAATTCTCAGAGAGAATAAGAAACTTATGAAAGTTGGAAACAACCATATCTATTTGTTACCATATTTTAATAGCATTTTGCCTTTTTTTTTTTTTTTTTTTTGATACAAGGAATTAAATCCAGGATCACTTAACCACTGAGCAGTATCCCCAGCCTTTTTTTTTTTTAATATTTTGAGACAGGGTCTTGCTGAGTTGCCTAGGGCCTCACTAGGTTGCTGAGGCTGGCTCTGAACTGGCAATCCTCTTGCCTCAGTCTCCCAAGCTGCTAGGATTATATGAGTGCACCACTATATCTGGCTTACTAGTACTTTGAAAATGTTGAATAGTATATGTGTAATGAAAGTCACTTACTTAGTCACTTAGGTACAAATGTCACTCTGAACCACAAACCCAAGTAATTAAGAGTTCTCACATGCTGTAGGAGTAAAGGACACTGGCCTTGGTCCTCCTGGATTTATTGGTGGGAGGGGTGGCATGATGGGAGGTGAGGATCTTGACTGTATCTTCACTTCCACAGGCGATCCAGGCATTGCTGGCACCCTTTTCTCAGAACCAACTGGAGAGAATAAAATAAATGGAGGTCAGAGTTCCTACAAGGCATTAAAACAGCAAATTAATTTGAAATTCCAACTTGTTTTCCTAGAAGACTGAAAAGTAGAGGTTTAGTACATGGGTGAAATGTTTGCTTCCAAAAAAGATTATGTCTATTCCTAACATCATTTTTAAAAAAATATTTTTTAGTTGTTGATGTGCCCTTTATTATCTATCTATCTATCTATGGTGCTAAGGATCAAACCTGGTGCCTCACACACTCTAGGCAAGAGCTCTGCCACTGAGCCACAACCCTAGCCCCCATTTCCTAACATCTTGATGTGTGAATGCTACCTATTGGGGAGAAGTGTCTTTGAAGATGTAATTAGGGTAAGGGACTGCAGAGATCATCTTGAGTAATTAAGTGGGCTATGAATCCAATATGAAGGTGTCTTTAAAAAAGAAAAGACAGGTCTGTGGGTGCCACTTTGTAGTAGAGCACATGCCTGGCATGCGTAAGTTCCTAGTTTGATCCTCAGTGCCACAACAGATAAATGGATAAATGGACAGACAGGTACATAGGTAGGTAGATAGAAGACACACAAACAGAGGGAAGTATATATGAAAATCATCACATAGAAGATCATGTGGCAATAAAGGCACAGACTCAAGGATTCATCTACAAACTAAGGACTGCAGAGAATATTGGCAAACACCAGAAATTGGGAGCCAGGCACGGAACTGATATCTCCCTCTAAGGACTCAAGGAAGAATCAGCCCTGCGCGCGCATGAGATCTCGGTCTTTCTCTCTCCCTCCCTCCCTACACACATACACACACACCTTGATTTTGATTTTGGACTTCTCACTCCTAAAGTGTAAGAGAATAAACTTCTAACATCTTAAGGCAACCAGTTTGTGGTACTTTGTTTTGTCAACATTACAAACTAAAACAAGGGAACAAGGACAACAGGTGATAGGAACTGAAAGTTAACAGTTTACAGAGTGTCTGAGAAAGGGAGAAACCAGATTCCAAACTTGGGTACCTCAATTGTATTCTTTCTAGACTACTCCTTATAAACAAATCAATTAAGTAAAGTGGAAACAGCTAAACTATAAACAGCTAAAAGGCCTCAACTGCATGACATGGAAACAGAATCAATATCAGTTGTATATAAATTTCTGCTGGTGATGAAATACTAAATTTTTATATAGTCAACTATACTAATAAAGGAAAAGAAGGTAGAGTCAATGTCACTTATGATATAAGCTATACAAAAAAAATTAAAAGTACAACTGATTCTAAACTAAGATGAACAATTTCATCCCTGTAGGTAACCGACAACAAGCAGCTGTTTGATAACAATGAACAACAAAGAAACTCCAGAAAGAGAAATTAGATAAACTTACTGACATTGAAAAGAGTTTTCAGGTGCCAGACATAGTGACTCATTCCTACAATTTCAGTTACTCAGAAGGTTGAGGCAGGAGAATGGCAACTTTGAGACCAGCCTTAACAACTAAGCAAGGGGCTGGGGATGTGGCTCAAGCGGTAGCGCGCTCGCCTGGCATGCATGCGGCCCAGGTTCGATCCTCAGCACCACATACAAACAAAGATGTTGTGTCCACCGAAAACTAAAAAATAAATATATATATAAAAAAAAATCTCTCTCAAAAAACAAAAAAACAAAACAAAACCCAACAAACAACAACTAAGCAAGGCTCTCCGTAACTTGTTTATTTATTTTTAGTACCCAGAACTGGAGACCACTGAGCCACACCCTATCCCTATTTTATATTTTATTTACAGACAGGGTCTTGCTAAGTTGCTTAGCGCCTTGCTTTTGTTGTTTGTTTTGTTCTGCCTCAGCCTCCCGTGCTGCTAGGGATACAGGCGTGTGCCCATGTGCCCAGCTTCAGTAACTTATTTTTATTTCAATATAGGATTTTGCTAAGTTGTCCCACCTGGCCTCAAACTTGCAATCTCCTGCCTCAGCCTCCTGATTCACTGTGATTATAGGCCCAATTATTACCTTTAATGCTTCAGTTTGTAGTGACCGCATTTTGGGAAAGGATATAATGAATAAAGAAAGTCAAAGGAGCCAAGCTCCCAAGTTACAAATCCCTGTCAAAAAGGTGTAGTATTGGGCAGGGGATGTGGCTCAAGTGGTAGCGCACTCGCCTGGCATGTGTGCGGCCCGGGTTCGATCCTCAGCACCACATACAAACAAAGATGTTGTCTCTGCCAAAAACTAAAATGTAAATAAAATATTTAAAAAAAAAAAAAAGAAAAAAAAAAAAAAAAGGTGTAGTATTGGGGCTGGGGTTGTGGCTCAGCGGTAGAGCGCTAGCCTAGCGTGCGAGGCCCTGGGTTCGATCCTCAGCACCACATAACAATAAATAAAATAAAGATATTGTGTCCAACTACAACTAAAAAAAATTTTTTTTTAAATGTATAGTATTCTGAAAGCCCTTGTCATCCCTCTGCTCAGGACATTTTCCCTGTGAAATTGATGGACATCCTGTCTGATTAGTGGCCTAATGAGCTGTTGCGCTTGCCTTTTTCTCCCTGACAGTGTTTTCTCAATGCCCTTCAAAGAACACTTGACACATTTCCAGCTCTTCCATCTGGGGCCCAGCTTTCTGTAGGGGGTGGAGAAGGGAAGGAAGGAACTGACAGTTGTCTCCCACTGTTATGTGTATGTACCGTGTGCAACAACCTGGAGGGAGTCTTTCTTCAGACCACCTGCCTTTACAGCGAGGGCGCCAAAGGCCCGAGGAGGGCGTAACAGTGAGATGTGTTTTAACATTCAGCATTTGGCAGGATAAAAAAGGTGGAATAGACCAACTGCACTGACATGATACTCTTACCAACTGAAAGTTTAGACAGTGAACAAAGCTCAGCCTTGAAAATACTGTTTACACGTCCTACGCCTCTCTTACTAACTTCATTACCCATAAACCTGCAACCTCAGTGTCATTCCTCATGTTTCAAGCAACACTACAGCAGGAAAATCACAGGTAAGGATATACGTTTGGTGTGAAAACTTTTCTGTTACATGGATTTTAGCAAATCATTTTACCTTTCTGGATCTCATTTTTCAACATACGTAAAAGTGAGGGATAATAAGAACAAACTAGGATTAGGAATGTAGCTCAATGGTAGAGCGTTTGCCTAGTATGCATTAAGTCCTGGGTTTGATCCCCAGCACCACAAACAAACAACTTGGCAGCCAGGCATAGTGCTGCATACCTGTAGTTCCAACTACTCAGAATTTTTCTGACTAATAATTTATCTATATATAACCTCAGACATACTATATAGAATGATCCAAGAATTTAAAGTCATAAAAGCACCAAATACAATATACATATTTTTGTTAGAGTCTGGGTTGCATGAATGCACCTCATGTTTTGTATAACCTGATCAAACTGATCAGTTGCTCAGATGATAGGTAAAGGGTATGTTTCAAAGTACGCATTTTAACTCTGCTTGGGGTCACAGTAGGAGCAGAGGAACTTCCTATAGGAAGACAGATAGCTATGGCATGCCCTTATGTCATCATTGTGAAAGTGACTTCTTCTTGAATTTTTATGAAATCACTGTTTATATATATTTTGGCTGAATCCCTTAAAGAACCAACCACACATATCTTGAGCACTTTTGAATTTCAAAAATTTTAAAGTTCAAAAACCAGAAAATTCTTTCCAATCCCAAGCACAATGGCACATGCTTGTGATCCCAATTACTTAAGAGGCTAAAAACAGGAGGGTTGCAAATTTGAGGCCAGCCTGAACAATTTAGCAAGACCTGTCTCAAAATACCGGCCTCCATATTTTTTTATTGGTGCATTATAGTTATACATGATAATGGGATATGTTACTACATATGTGCATGCACACAATGTATAAAAATAGAATTTGGCCTATATCACTCCCTAGCACTCCCTCCTCCCTTCCTCCCTTTGGTCCCTTTCTTCTATTGATCTCTCTTTGATTTTCATGAGTTCTACCTTCAAAATAAAAACTTTTGAAAAGGGACGTAGTTTAGTGGTAGAGTTCTCCTGGGTTCAATCTCTAAACCATAAAAACAAACAATCACGAAACTATAAAGAATTATTCTATAGGTCCACAAAAGAAAGTACTATTGAATATATTATTGGTAAATACCCTAGACAAGTACTATTTGAGAAGAATCCTCCATGAAAAATTGCCCACAAACAGGGATATTTACAAATAATTATAAAATATATTTCCTTGGAAGTTTTTTAAACTTCTTATGAGGCTGGCAAAGAAACAATAAAGAACAGAGATGTAAATATGAGATCAAAAATAATGCTATAATATGAGGGAAAAGACTACAACCCAAACTGGAAACATAAGAAATTCCAAGATCTAAAGGATGGCACCACATTTAGAAAAAAGAAGCTGAGTTTGATGTGTAAAGGATATTTTATAATGATAGTTGGTTTGTTTTCCCATTTGTCTTTGGGGATTACACAACAAAGGCTGGTTCTGAGGGTATCATAATGAATATAACAGAGGCTGGTATGCAGCACACTCATACATGTTTTACTTTAATTAGATTAAAAATTCGTTAGAATTAATCATTTTACTTGGCTTTTGAGATAGTTATCTAAACTAAATTTTGGAAAGAAGATATATATGGTCAAGTATTCCTGCGTATCATCACTGAGAGAAAAAAAAAAAAAAGAGTAAAATGTAGATTTTTCAGAAGTATGCCAGAAATAATGATCATTCCAAACAGGATGGCCAAGGAAGCCATTATATCTGAATCTTTAAAACCTAATCAGTCTGCTAAGAAATATTGGGAGAGCTGGGTAAGGTAAAACACACTTAGGAGGCTAAGACAGAAGGATCTCAAGTTCGAGGCTAGCCTTATCAACTTAAAGTTGAGAATGTCTCACAGTAATTTAAGCGGGGCAGGGCACCTGAGGATATAGCTCAATGGTAGAGAGCCTGTCTAGCATGCATGAGGCCCTGGGTTCCATCCCTAAGAGACAGA